AGCAGCGGGGTTGGACTAGATGATCTCCAGAGGTCCCTTCCAACCTCAACCATTCTATGATGATGTAATTCTAAAATGTCATGTGATATATGTGTATATATAAAGGAAACATAACATTTTTAACGAGGTGTGCACTGTGTGCACACAAAATTGTGCTGACCTACCCCAAGTCACACATGTATGAAAGCGCATTTTTCTGTTAGCTAGTCAGGCATTGCTTAGGCTCCAGTCTGCCAGTGTAGATATGAAAGGTCTTTGCAGTCATAATATTTTGGAATTATAAACATCATAACTTGTAGTGGGTGTGGACTGAATATGAAGTTGTCTTCTTGTGCTTAAATATTGTAGCTCCTTGGCCATTTAGACATCAGCAAAAGAGTTGCTATTACTTAAGAGAGGGGAAAAATCTGAATCATATCACCAAAATCTTGCTATTTGGTAGACATTCTTTTGCTATATTTTTGTGTTTTCCTCTTGCAAAACTGGTAGGAAGGCTTGAATAAGTCCTTGTCCGAGTCCCGCTTAGAAGACAGGTAATATGTGGAGTTGTAGCTGCCATCTTATTTCCCTTATGAAACAGAGCACTTGAGGCTGACAGAAGAGAAAGTAAGAGCATGCCACAAGAAAGCAGATATCACAGAATTCTATATAGGAAAGTCTTCATCTACTTAATACTACTGTTCCTTCTATGCTCTGCTAAACTTTTTGCCAGGAACAAACAGCTGATCAGCAAGACTAATGCTACCTACACTTCAGTCAAAGCTGAAAGCTGACTGCAAGGTTTCAGTTTTGTTGCCATGGGTGTCTTGTGATGGTTTTGTTGTTGCTCTTCCGTTTCCTGGGATTATAATAGCAACTGATGAGATTATCCTTATTAACAAGTGCAGCAAGATCTCAGGATCTGAATGATTGTAATGGAAGAGTCTTTTGTTGGAAGGGGAGCTCGCCTTTACATAGGAAGAAATTAGTTCTCTCTGTGACATCACCTGTAATTTTACAGTGTAGATACTGCTATTACTCTGGAATTTGATATACTTTATAGGCGAAGCCAAAACAAACATCTTGGATGTCAACATAGATGTTGTTCCCTAGAAGAAAATGAAATCATTCAGAATAGTAAGACTTCAAGTCCATTGTTAGATGAGATAAGAAAAATATAGACAGTTGAAAAAAATATTTGTTCACAAAACACTATACCCATCTGTTAATCTTTTCTAGGATGTTCACTGTTGAAGAATATGGGAGATGTTTTTGACTCATATTTGATAGGAGAGAAATATCTCCTTAAAATTCCAAGACTTGGGGCAAAACAGAACAGTTACGAGCAGATATGTTGCAGTTAATACTCTTATATTTCCATTCAATGCATAATCAAGCAGATCTTTAGTAAGAGCTTTACAATAGGCACTCAAATAGTTATGTAATAAATTCTCTGTACAGTGTTTGGTAAAAAGCGTGCCACAAAATTATGTTTGTGGTCTCAGCAAGATGCTGGGGAGAGCTAGGCAGTAAACCATGTCAGAGAGAGACGTCCTATCCTGTACTAGTCCTTTGATGTTATGCTGACAGTTGCAGAGAGATACATTTACCACCTCGGGCTCAAATCATACAGTCCAAAAGCTGATCAGGGTTCATCCTTTTTTTTGAAATGTTGTAGGTAGTATTCAACAGAAGTATTGGGCAACTCTAACCGAGCTGAGCATCCTAACTGCCAGTAAGATCCATGCTCATCCTAACTTTTTATCATTCAGTCAATCATTTATTCTTTCCGTTCTGGCTTGGATTTAATTGGAATGATGTAGAGTTACCTTGCATCCCACCCACCCACTTAGTTAGCTGATGCAGAGTTAACTCACTCCATGTGTACTGAACTGTTTGCACACGTCCTTAGTCAAATCAGTACTGTTAATATCCCTTTTGTAGGTTTTAAAGGATACTTTTGTACAATTAAGTCACTGAATTTCTTTCTTCTAGAGCTTTTTTTGGAGGGGGGGTCTACACTCAAAATCGGAAATGAATAAGTAACTGATGTTCTTTTATCCTGTGGTTAGTGAGCAAACAAGGTTAAATGTAGCATTTTCCATCCAAAAGACAGTTTTATGCTGTGGAAAAATTGAGAAGGAGGAAGAGGAATTAGTGTAACATCCCACTGATGTTAGGAGAAAGTTCTGAAGATATTTAATAATGTAGGACTTAGAATCAATTCCCATTTGATGGGAATTCCCCCACTGATGATTAGTTTTTGTCATACCAGTTGATGACATTATTCATTTCATATGTTCTCCATTATAAAGAGCTTGACTAATACCTCATAATATTTTTATTAAAAAATAATGTACTTTCATAATCACTGTAGGCCAATTTAAGTTTGGGCTGTTCCCAAAAGTGGCTTTGGTTATGTCATCCAGTTAGCAGGGAGCTAGCTGGTCCTGCTGGTACCAGGTCTGGCTATGGCAGCACTGAGATGCAGTGAGAACGTGTGGTCAGGGGCTGGTGGAAGGGTTTGTTCCACCTTTGAGTAGCAGCTGGCATGTAGCTTAAAGCCTTTATTAAAATTATAGGGATGTGGCATTTGCACAAGCTATTAAACCTCTATAATTTCCTCAAAGAGTGGAGGTGCGTTCATTTACAAGATCAGTTTCCCCCAAAATTATGATGAGTAGCGTCAGTTACATTGATCCCATACCAGCTTTTCAGTTATCTTGCTGGTGATTTATCTGTGCGCTGAGACGTGCAGCCTGTTACCTGCATTTGGGGACTTTGGCTACATCTCTGCCAGTCTTTGGGACTTTCCCCAGTCTTTCAAGAGTTATTAAAAATGAGCGTCAGGAGGCTAGAGGGAATTTCACCTGGCTTTTTAAAGAATGTTAAATATAAGATATCTGAACATGTTGGTAGATTATAGGATGCCTTGATTACCAGCTTCCAGTCAGTGATCAATACATTGTCATTAATCCCCCCTTCACATAGGGGTTTGAAATATTTACCTTATTATGGGTACATTTATTATGCGTGTGGAAATCTTATCTGAAATTGTTAGAAATTCTGAGTTTTGCTACTGGGTGTACTATGTGTTCCAAGCCTCCATAACGATGCAAAATCCACTCCTTTCCTTCTCCTTACGTTGCAGGATGAACGAGTTACTCTTAAGCACGAATGCTGTTTTTCTGATTCAGTAGCCTGAGGCAAGCCCTTAGCATTGCCTTCTCCTAGGTTCTGTCAGCAGAAGCAAGCTTCACAAGCGTTCAGGATTTGTAATTCTTACTGTTCTCAGTAACTTTAAACAATTAATCACTTCTTTAATAGAGAGTAGTGCCACACCATCAACTTCATCCTTCTTAAACATCTTGTAAGCAGAGATTTTAATATCCAACTAATACAGACTATTCCTTTTGTTTCATTCATGATAGAGTCTCTTTTCAGTGAGAATTTCTACATCCTCTTATATCTTAGTCCAGCACCTGTAATCAGTATGCAAACAATTATGTATTCATTCTCATGATGTCTTCGCTGCATTGGTTTCATTTGTTTGTTGCCTGCTGACCCTGATTTTATACAACCATTGCTTCCTTTGCACTCCTAGTTTAATATCCTTCCAGCTATTGCATTTGGTTTCTTTGGACTGGAAGCCATCCTGTCTGCACAGCCATTCTGTGCCTTTGAAAGCCGAGACAGTGTTCTGTGGTACCTGAGTGGACCTTTATACCAGTTCACCTCTGATATTCTATACAGGGCTTACTAAAGAAAAATAAAAAGACAGGAATTAGAGTTGTTAGTGAATAATAGATTTGCTTGTATATGTATGTCAAATATACTCATAAAGTCTGTTTGGACTTGCTGTACTTCAAATTCTTGGCACTGTGGCAGTTGTGATTTGTTTGTTGTCCGTACTTGTTCTGGTGTTGGATCAGAAAAATGTACTTGTTGAGCAAGCATTGACCTGAGTGAGCCAAGTAAAAGCTGCATTTAGTTATGGATTAACGTATATGATTGTAGTGTTTAAATCTCTGGTTAATGTGCTTAAGAATCCTAAAATAAGCAAGAGATACTGGATTTCCACTGCATTATAGAGACACTATTACTTGCTGTAAAGCGGATAGAGTCAGGTACTGAGAACAGACAAAGTAGCTGCATAGGTGGCAAAAATATCTCTAGGCCCATGGAGCCTAATTGGCCTGGAAAGTCTGAAGGAAGGGTGTGTGTTTGCGAGTGTGTGGCTGAGTCAGTGGGGGTGTAGAGCTTCCCTTCAGGATGCTGCCGGCAGTAGCAAATGCTATCCCAACCACCTCTAGCCCTCTGGATGGAGCAGCAGCTATTCAGATTTTTGCCATTTGGCTCATCATCTAGTTCAGTTGCTCACTCTTTTGTTCATTTCCCTCACTTCCTGCTAGCTACCAAATTGAGGGGAACGAGAAACCTAGTTTGGACTCTCTGAAGAGGATCAGCAGAGCCAAGAGCTTTGGTATCGGTGTTTCTGGCTGACTGCTGAAGATATTTATTGCTTAACGTTCTTCTGAGTTCCTAACAAGGAAGGCAAACCTAAACAGAAAACTCTTACTGTTACGTAGTTTTGATAGTGAATGTGTCCCATTTAGCATGAATTTTTCGTTTTCCTCTAGAATCCTCACAAAGCCTAACCTAAAATGTATTCAAATCCCCAATGTTCAATTGCCTTTCTGGTCTGCTGGGAAGAAACATGTTCCAAGCTGTGTAGCCTACTTTCGTTGTTCCCTGTGGTACTTTTGGACTCTACTGCTTGTTCTCTGAGTACCTATTGTCTTGCTGTGTAGAACAGATCCATAAATATTTATGGTAATCTAATCGGCCTTCATAGGCAATAGTGGATAGCAATCGCCAGTGGCTATCTTAGCATGACAGAGAGGGGTAAAATGCTACAGCAAAATAACCGCTAGGTATATTTACAGTGAAGGTCTTTTCTAAAACAAGTAGCTTCCAGAATCATAGAAATTAGCTCTGTTTTTCTTCTCTTTCCTGCAGGACATGATAGGTAGAACAGAATCCTGTGCTTCAGGACAGATACCTATGGCCTACGTGAGCTGCCTTGCTTACATGCTGGAAGAATGGACTGGTGTGGAGTACCTGGAGAAATATTTTTTTCATATGGTCATCTTCTCACTGATGATGAGTGCAATACTAGTTTTTTTTATAGTTCCTTTAACAATCCTCTTTTTCATTTACCTTACTAATATTTTGCTTTTAATATATCAGAGGAACAGTGAGGTAAAAGCAGATCCCTTGAGTGATGTTTGGGATAATGCAAGAAAAGCTGTTGCAAGCTTCTGGGATATATATGCAAGAATATGGCATGGTAAGTATGGCATGACGGTTTGAAGGTTTGAATTGCAGTGGACAGTAAATATACCTAAGTTTTAATTTTAGATTTCTTCCAAATGAGTGCGAGTAAATGATATATGTTGTACTTCCTGTGGCATAGATTGCGGATTTTCTGCCCCAAAGACTGACTGCAGTTTAGAACAGACAGAATGAAAGGGAGAAATGAGACTATATAGGGTACATTTCTGTGAGTAGACAGATGCCCTTCTCTGTTTATGGTATCAGAGTAGACTGTAGTGTTCGTGTTAGTTCTAGTCACTTACTTGCAGGGCAGGATTATGATTTTTTGTGTTTTAGTAGCTGTTCATAACCCACTTAAATGAACAATCAAAACAAAACAACTAACTGGACAAGTAATTAGTGTATTTTTAGTTGGAGAAAACTACTCTGTTATGACAGCTTAAAATAACTTCAAGGGCTGTATGGAAAAGAAAATAATTAGCACATTTAAATTTATACTATAGCAGAATTTAAAAGTAATCTGATTATTCAGTGTCATTATACGCAACCTTCAGGCACCTCAGCACACCCTGCTGCCTAGGAAAATCCTTAGCCCCAAGCTATGTACCCATTCTTCCCACAGGTGTAGTTTTAAATCTATAAGCAGGACTTAATTTTGCTGCCCTAATGATGAAGAATAAAATGTTATTCTCTGTGTTGTTACCCTTCCTCAGAGCTTTTTCCCTTAATCTTTGAACCTCCTGCAGTATAAAACCTTCTCCGGCTCTTCCTCAGACTCTGCCTGCTCCCTCTCTGGCCATCTCACTAAACAGCTCATGGCAGGAGTTGTAGCAGGGTTGGAGATGAAGGCAGGCAAGGTGAAATCGAGTGCTTAGTTGGTAAGATCTGTGGCTTTCCCAAGCCTTTGTATACGTTAGCCTACTATGCCTATGCCTACAGTTTAGCTCAAACGTAGGAAGAGCCAGGAAAGGGATTTATAGAAGTCTGCGCCTGTCAGGAAATTTTTTCCTTTGTGAAATGAAATGCACATAACTGCCATGTGGAGCAAATCTGCCTTTGGGATTGTAATGGATTCTGCTTTGGACTTAAACACATAAACTAGGGCAACTTTTTTCTTCTGTAAAATCTGAATGGCAGGGTCCCCAGCCCAACTCTTCCTAATTTGAACACTTACATAGAAGGCCACTCATTCCCAACTTTCATTCTGTCTGGCACAGATTGGAGATTAATACTGCCTATTTTAGGAAGGCATCCAGTTAGGTTATTTTTCTCTCATTCTCGTGATGAAGCTGTTTCATACTAGTGTACTGATTTTTTTTTTAATTACATTTTGGACCAGGAAAAGTTACAATAGGCAATAATTAACTTAGTCTACTCACTTGGTGAAAGTGTCAGGTTCAAATCTGATCTAGAGATTTAACCGAAACACAGATTACCCTACTAGGTAGGACATTCTGTGGTGTTTGAGGGGCCTTTTCTTTGCTATTGACCAAAGGGTGCCTCTAGAACTTAATTCTTTTAAAAGCTACTCCTTAGGCTCTTACAGCTCTCTCTGAAAGGCATTCAGTAAAGGCTTTAATTCCCAGATAATTTAAAACAAACATTGTCATTGTATTACTTTCCATCCCATACAGGTTATGAGCTTCATGGTGTGGAAAACCTACCAGAAGGACCAGGCATTCTTGTATATTACCACGGAGCTATTCCTATAGACTACCTTTACTTTTTATCAAGGCTCTTTCTCTGGAAGAAAAGACTTTGTCTGTCAGTAGCTGACCATTTTGTCTTTCGTTTACCAGGTAAGAACATGTTCTCTTGTATTTAAGCGTTCTGAATTCATTCTGCCTATTGCTGGTTTTGGTGAAATTAATAACTATTACAGTCTGAAGAGAGCTTTTAAGCAAAAAGATAGGGGGTAGGCTGGTAAATGCAGAAGAGTCAATGAGGTAGAATATCCTTTCTTTGAAGTGAAAGCTCATAAAGACGCTGGCAGCTCCTCCAAAAACAACAAACAGACATTATATAATTCCTTTGGGATGAAATTTCGTGACTAAACGGAAAGTGTAGGATAGGACTATGTTACTGACCTCATGCTGGCTGGTCAGCAGTGGATTATGAGAGCAGAAAAGCCTGGTAAATGGAGAGACATTAATTACTTAACTGCTTTTTAGACTGACTAGATACTGCAGCGGGGCATGACATCAAATCTAAATTTTTGAACAAAGCAAATGAGTCTTCTTTGAACAACTAGTCAAAAAATCCACTAAAAGAGAAGCAGTTACAGATTTAGCCCTGAGCAGGGCGCAAAAACTTGTTTCAAGATTTTACTATTGAAGAGCAGCTCTGTAATACGGATTACCACAACATACTCAGATTCAACATACTATAGACTGAGAATAATTGCTTTATAAAAGGGAGAAAATGTAGAAGAGCAAGCTTCATTTATTTTTAGAAAAACAAAGCATAAGGAAGAAGCAGCCAGAACTTTTCTCATCTCAAAAGAGGCTGCAAAATAGAAAAGATAACAAAAAAAAAACAAAAAACAAGGATGATCAGAGGCATGGAATGACTTCCCCTGAGGAGGAAATATAGGACAGAAGTCTTGCATGATTGAGGGATATAAAATTCTGAGTTAATGGAAGAGGTGAATAAGAAGTGATAAGTCTGTCTTGTAGTAATTTCATGTGATGTATTGTAGTTCTTAACAGGCAAAAATATTAAAGCCAAGCAAAGGAAGTACGTTTTCACCTAATAAGGCTATGACATTCATAGTGACAGGACAAAAAATATAGATGAGTTCACAAAAGGATTAAATAAAGTCAAAATCTATCTTTGATTAAAAAAAATCTATCAAATAAGACACACTGAATAGGATTAAGTAAGATGCAGTGACAAGATTCATCGCTGTTTTTGAAATTGTCCTGTTAAATTCTGCCATTCTTGCACCTTAAGAGTCATAGAACTGCCCAGTTTGACGATCTCAAGTAGTTTGCAATTTAACTGCGTAAAACTCAGCATAAAATGTTAAATGTGACATTTTAAAAGAATGCTAAAAATACATGCTTTACAGGCACTTATTTTTATAGTAATATTTATTGTACTTAAATTTTGTATTTGTTTTGTATTAAAAACATTTAAAAGAAAGGCGGGATGAATAGATGTTAATTTCCAGATTTCCAGCTTTGAGGCACTAGTTTCTATTGCATGGCTGGTGTTTTGATAATTATGGCAAATAGCATACATAGACATTGGCTTATGGAGATGCTCTTGCTAAACTGGTTCATCCTGATAATGTTTGGGCAAAAATATTGTCCCACATTTGCCACTTTGCCAATATTTACTCTGTAGGTGGTTTATTGACTCCATACAAATTTGCCTTACTTCAAATATATAGCCATGAGATTTTCCTTAAGCTGTAATCTTGTTGTTACATGGAAACAATATTTATGATTTAAGTGTTACAATAATATGTATTTGCTATTTATTTATTATAGGACTTAAATTATTATTGAGAGTGACTGGTATTATGCCAGGTACAAGGGAGGAATGTCTTAGCGCACTGAAGAATGGACACTTGGTGTCTGTCTCACCTGGTGGCGTTAGAGAAGCACTCTTCAGTGATGAAAGTTATCAACTGATGTGGGGAAACCGAAAAGGCTTTGCTCAGGTGGCTATAGATGCAAAAGTGGTGAGTAATATATGTTACCATCCCAGTTTATGCTTGTTGCATGTATGTTTCAGTATAAAATGCAGTTTAAGAGAGTTTGCTGGGAAATCTTCTAGACAGAAGAAAAAGGTTTGAGAGTAAAGATTTCTTTTCCTCTTCTCCTATCTTCCTCAAGTATAGCAATCTACAGGCAGCAAAGGTTTTATGGAAGTATATAGCTTTTTCTTGACTGTTGCAAAGCTTCCCTCTCTATGGTTCCATCTTGGATGAGTCTGCCTGGTTCCTGCTGTCGTCAGATGAAAAAATATTACTCTCAGGCAGGCATCTAATTTCTTGTCTTGACCACATTTCACAAACTTATGTTGTGGTCCTTCTCAATATTACTGTAATATTTGATTCTTTTTTCTCATCTTACTAGACTACTAAAATATGTTTCTCTTATTTTTCCTTCTACACGTTAGTCATTTCCTTATGGATTTTTAATGCATTGTCCTTATTTTTCTTTCTTCCCACTCTGTTCTATGAAAGTCCAGGATTTTGTCCTTACCCTTGCTCTTCTTCATGTTTGTGAAAGAGTCCATCAACTAGCGCAAGGTGTGTCTAAATCAGTGTTTCGGTTTGGATCAGGAATGCTTTCTTGGAGCAGTTTTCCCATCTCCTCCACTTACAATGCTTTCAGGAACATCATAGTATGGTTTCAGCGTACATGAACTGCAGTCCTCTTGGCCAAAACTACAGCAGAAGCACTCCAGGTGTGCAACATAATACTCTCAAGCTGCAAGTGGGCATTCAGTTGATGGTACCAGACTACAGTTAGTTCTAAGTACAAACAGAACGCTGAAATGTGTCCAGTGTTGATGTTAGATCCTCAGCATCGTCTGTTTTCCTCTACAGATATGCCTCTATTGGTTTGCACTTTTTGCTAATGAACACATGGCCACAATTTCAGTTACGTTTTCCATGTGGATGATTATCTACAAATACAAACTTTTACCACTGCGTCTGACTCCCTCCATATAATTCCACACATGAGATTGTTTCTCTGATGCAGTCTCTGGGAAATAATTTTATTTTGGATGGTATAGATCTGAAACAGTAACTCTGTAACTCCCTATCTTAATTGCCACTTCCCATCTTCATCGTCATAACTAGGGCACAACTTTGTCTTGGATTAGGCTTAGCACACCTAGCACTCTTTGTGTGGAACATTACTAACATGCATGCAGGCTTTATCTCTTCTGCCATGAGTGTTTTGCTGCTGCTTTCCCAAGAATTGCAAAATTAGGATTTTTATTCTCGTGAATATCTAATCCACTGCGGCGCTCTTCTTTGGCCTTCCAAGTTAATATAACCCTTTTCAGGCTATGTAGGAGTATCTGTCCTGCGAGTTGAGTTCTTCACATGAAATTTCTCACTACCCCTTTCAGTTTTTTATGTAGCTATTTCTCTTTCTTATTTCCTCTCACTTGTTGCTTGCTAAACTTTGCTTTGGTCCCTTTCTCCAAAGCTCCTACTGCATAGTGCCCAGGATTGCAAAATATATGCTTCAGGTTAATATTTCTTCATAACTGTCTGCCTTTGAAATCTTGTAGGGAGATAACAAAACAGTAGAATAAATTTAGGGGATTATCAAGTGGATAAAGTATTTTTAGCCTGGAAGACCTATTCCCAGCTCTTTGTCTGTCTTGCTGTCTGGTCTTGTAACCATTGGGAATTTTGTACTTCTGTTCCCTCTCCCTTCCTTTTTCTCAAAAGTGAGGGCTGTTAGTCACAATACTTGATACAGTGCGAGGGCTTGTACACCACCACTACTAGGAAAATAGGAGACTCTGAATAGAATAAACCCAGTCAAATTTGGATGTGCATTTGGAATTGCCTTATAATCTTTCCTTTTCTGTATTGGTATATAATAGTATACTTGGCTACTTTGCATGCAGCTTGAGTGATTTTTAGTAACTTCATTTTCCTGTTTGTCTAGTAAGCTACCTCAAACGTTGGAACAATTTTTTGCCAGATGTTTTCACTTCGCTTGGAACCTTATGGTATAATTCTACAGTTATGTGTTTTTTTTAAAAATAAAAATCGAATTTAAAAAATCGGAATGCCCTCAACATAGGGTGCCACCCTTGATAAAAAAAATATCAGAAAATTCTTGCTAGAAATCCTGATCCTTACAATCTTACATAATTTAAAAGCGTGTGGAAACAGCTGAATAGTAGTCCTTAAAATTCCTAGCACCTTCTTTTGAAAGGTGTTTTTTGGTTTAATGAATTGGATATTCATCAAAAATAAAATCTGTGAAGTGTGAAAGGTTCTTGTGGTGGTTTGTATTAGCCTGTCTGGTAAAACAGACACTATGTAGGACTATTACTTGGAGGGCGCAGAGGGGACTATCTTCTTTGACACCTACTAGCCTGAGCTCACCTTTACAGTGTGTCTTGCTCTCGTATCACTCCCCTTTGACTGAATACACTCATTCAGGTGTCTGTTCTCTTCTGATCAGGAAGTCTGTCTGGATTTCACTATGGTGGGCATCACTGTAACTACCTTACAGGCTCCACTGAATTTGGCAGGCTCCAACAGCCAAGAGGTTACTGAATAGCCGATAGCTCTTCTCTCTCTGCCTGTCCCAGATACCTTGCTGAAACAGCTATTAGACTGAAGTTCTGTATTTTTCTGTCAGCATGATCATGGCAGCAATGATATTTTCAGAAAAAAGAAAGTTCCCCCTGTTAGTTTTTGTTTTGCTGTGAGAGATTTATGTGGTTACCTCTTAAAACACCAGAGATGAAAAAAGTGATTCCGATCGCACTTGCATTATTGGAACTGTCCTTGAGTCAGACACAAGGATTTAAGCATCTGTCTGCCCACAGATAATTAGTTGCTTGTCTTGTGTGCCATTCTGCATCCCAGTATAGTGATATCAGGGTTAGCTCCACTAGCAACAGCAGTTCATTTGCATAGGCGAATACATACTCCATTCTCCATGTGGCCTTCCATGCTGTAACTGCTACACTGCTCATCCTGTAAGAAGTTACTGGGAAAAGTTACAAGAGCAGTTCTGAGAGCAGAAACTGGAACCTGGTACTTGCGCCTCCCAGCTAATTTTTCTAACAGGACAGCAGATCTGGTTGCATGTATGTGCTCATTTAATCTCTTCCCTTCTCTCGCACCCCAGAATGAACTTTTTCACTATGCTGTAGCAGGCAATACATGCCATAAGGACATGGGAGCTGTAGATTTGAACATTTTGAGGATGAGGAGGGACTTAGCGGTATGATGACATGTATTTTGCATAGTGGGCAAATGCTGTTTGTTCTACTATAGATAAAGATGCAGTGTTAAGTGTGCTGTAAAAGAAGAGTTCTGCTTTGTTTCTTTTTGCAGTAAAAGATGAGGGGATGAAGGAGCAGCTGAAGATGCTTATCATCCATTTGTGATATAGATGGACAAAGATGCGTCTGCTTGCTGTTCTATTCGAGTCGGACACCCAATTTACGGAAGGAAATGGGGCTTATGCCTGACTCTCAGCTCCAGTCCCTGTGTTTGGCCCTAGAAGGCCAAAAGAGAGCAGGTGGCAGTTAATTGTGTGAGAGCGGTATTATTTCCCCAAGTCTTCGAATATTGTGGCACAATATTGAATCTTTTTAGATAAAATATTGCAAATGGGGAAAAAAAATTAAAAGCAATGGAAACTATCAAAATGCTCTCTTAAAAAAAGCCTTCCCTTGGGACGTTACTGGTTTTAAGTTTTAGTTACTTTTAAAAACAACCAGATGTTAGCTTTCTAAAGACAGTGTAATAGAGGATAGTATTTGCAATGCTTAAGTTTCTTTGTGAAGGTTGAAATAATTTCCTAGTGTTTCAGTGATCACGTCCTTGGGACCTCCCCATGAAAGGCGTTTATCAAGTGGTGTATCTTTTCTTCAAAATTAACCTTTACATTTAAAAAATAAATAATTTTGATGTTTTGATTAGCTCTGCTCAATGTCTTCCCCCAAAATAAACACACAAATATTTTTCATATATGTGTGAATGAATGAACAGCAGACTTACTGGTGAAAACACAGCATTAATATTTGTTCTCTCTGTTCTAAATAATATCTGCCATCAGCAGAATATCAATTATGTGAGGTGTAGAAACTTCGCAGGCTTATATGCGTCACCTATATCAGTGTGAAAATCTACATTTGACAGCTCCATGCCAAATGTGATGATTCTTAACAAATCTGCAAAATTTGAATTGCTCATTTAAATTCTTTCTGATTGTTGCACAGAGGACATCTAATTACCATTGTTCATCATGGCAGAAATAATGCTTCATTGCAATTCAGTATATTTTACTTGATTCTTTTTTTACATTCGGGAGATGAACTAGAATTTTTGTGGAAACATACCAGTTTCACTGATGCTGTCTTTAGGTAAGAATTCTGAAGTCCAAGATGGGCTTTCAGAATGGGAAGACTGAAAACTCAAAACAAATTGCTGATGAAGGCATTTAATTCCAGTGTGAAGAAGCTTACTGATTCCTAGTCTTGGTTAAGCAGAATAGAGACTTGAGCCTCTGTAGAGACCCCTGAGATGTGGAAAACAATCAGCAAACTACTGGCTGTTGGCAAATGGCACGCTATCTCCCCTTCCAGCCACGCCTAAGAAAAATGTTTAGTGTGTGTATTTGTCCCAAACTGAAATATGAATGTTAATAATCCATTAGAATTTTGGAACTTCCAGTGCAGAATTGTAAGATAAGTTCAAAGTATTAAGTTCAAAGTAAACTCCTATTGCAGGGCAACTTACTAAGCTGTCAGCATTTCAGTGATAAGAAAGTTCCATGTTTGCTATCTAACCAACCAGTAATTATCCTCTATATTCAAGTAATTTTCTCAACTGCATTATCAGGCACTAAAACATAAATTCAAACATGGTATAACATTTTCACCTTTTTATTTTTCTTGATTCCGTAGCCCATCATTCCGATGTATACTCAAAATGTCCGGGAAGGATATAGGATGTTTAAAGAAAGAAGTAAGAACTTTAAAATATATTTTAAGGATTTGGAATGCTTTCTTCACTTTTCTCTCAAAAAGGTTTTTCTTTTCAGAATTTTGCTTACACTGGATTCTTTAACATGTCTGCTGTGGGTCAGAGGTATCTCAAATATTGAACTATCTAGCAAGTGTGTAACTAGTGTGTGCTCTATGATTTGGTTCTTTAATGCAGTCTCATTTCAGTAATCTATTAATTCTGTCATCCTTTGTTTTGGTGGGCAGTTATTTAAATCTTAACGATTTCTTCTTGACTGTCAAATGAAACGAGCACTTTAAGGAGTCTTTCCAAATCCATCAGTTTCAGCTTTGGATTGTGTTTACTGTCACTATGATCTCACTTCTTCCCTCTTAAACTGTTACAGGATTTTTTAGACAGTTATATGAAAGTACTCGACTGCCGTTCACTCCGCCATATGGAGGAATTCCAGTTAAACTCCGCACATATATTGGGGAGGCAATTCCTTATGATCCAAATATAACTACTGAGGAATTAGTTGAAAAGGTAAGTTAGTTTTCCTTGCAATATTGAACTACACACTTTGTTTTATATGTGCACTTGAAACTAGTTTTTTTGTAGGGTTGATTAAAGACAAGTACACTTTTACTAGCTTGTTAATATAATGGACAGTTGAGCGCCATGCTTGTATAATGTGTGGATATCAACAAGTATGTACTGGCACAGTAACAGTTGTTTGGGATGCCCCTATCTTTTCAGAATGTGTGATAACTGTATTCTTGGAACACTAACTTAGTTTTTTCCCTCCTTGATAAATTTGATATCTGAAATAGTATAAACTGTTTTAAGTTCAATTTGAAGTAGATAGGAAAATAAACATATATATATATAACAAATATATTTTGAGAATCTTCCCTAAAGAACATAGGGCGCTAGAAACATCGAACAGTTCCAAAAGAGCTTCAGTCCCATTATCAAAAGGAAAACTTAAAAAAAAATCATTCACATCCCAAATGCAAAAATATTTTGAGTACCTCCAGCTTGATGAAGTCAGTCGTGGTTAGGTGCATAACAACTTTTATAGAAGTATGGTTTAGGCATTTTTCAAAATATTAATCTATACAGAAAACTCACTTTTTTTATTTTTCATAGAAGATGAAAGATGGCTTTATTCAGAAAATTCTACTTCGGTCTAGGAATAGATAGATCAAAATATGGGTTAGGAATCACTGATCTGAAAATCACCTTGCTGCCCCAGAAAAGACGTAAGAAGTCTTTTCTTTGTTTGTTTTAAAGGATATGCTGCACATTGTTCTGGGCTTCATGACAGTGAAGCCAGAAAGACAGGTTTTGTCAGTTACAAGAGAACTGTCCCAGCAAGCTGCAGAGTTTGTGCTTACCAGTTTAGGAGGCTGCATGCAAGATTAATACTAAGATGGTCCTTATGGTTACCCATATTCTTGGATTTGGGGGGATTAGTATTTTGTATACTTGCTAAACTGAAATTTAAAATTTCCACTGAATTGCTTTATTAAGCCAGGAGTTTGGCCATCCACTTCAGTGGAAGTACTGTTAAGTCTTCTGTGTCTAGTATTAGTTAAAAAAAAAAAAAAAACTTAAATGTGGTTTGAGATGAACGGTAGACTAGCTGATCTCTATCTGATCCTGCCTTGGAAAGGAGTCAGGAAGTGAATCTATCAGGAAAAGTTTAGCTACTCTTTGCTTATATTCCCAGTGATGTTTTACCGCCCATTTGGGGACAGATCACTGTAGTATTTGGCTACCTTATTTCAAATTTAAGTATATTAGGAAAAAATAAAAAGAGATCATTGCTATCCCTAGTGGAGATGTAGAATATTTTACTCATTTTCTTCACAAACTTACATTTGACTTGCATGAAGACTGAAAAGTAATAGAATGTAGTTATAAGTTCTCTTATTATGTATATGCTGAGTATGATGAAATTATAGAAGAATTCATGTTGGGAGGGACATCTGGAGCTCTCTGGTGCAACCTCTTGGTCATGGTAGGGTCGGATATGAGATCGGACCAGGTTTGTCAAGCTTTATCCAGTGCTTTTGAAAACCTCCAGGGCTGCAAAACTTTAAGACTGCAAAAACTTAATGTGTGCATGTATTAAAGGCTAATTTGACTTACCAACTCCCAGGACTGAAAAGTCTTAACAATATGAACCTTACCAAACTGCAACCAATGTTCTTTTTCCATTTTAAAGGAAAATGTTGCTAGCACAGCTAGCTAAAATAAATGACACTTTTTTTTTTTTTTTCTTAAAGGAGATCTTACACGTGCATTTCCCAATACCTTTTGAAACTCTGGCAAGTCAGTGATTATGCTGTTTTTTCTTGCATAAGCAAATATGTAAAGGCCAACTTTCTCTTCTCTTTTCAGACAAAGACTGCAGTCCAGGCTCTAATAGATAAACACCAAACAATCCCAGGCAGCATATGGAAGGCCTTACTGGACCGATTTGATAAACAGCAGAAAAGTGATTAGCATGCTTATGTTTATTTCATTGCTTTTAAAATATATAGTGAAAAACAATGTCCTACAGCAATGATGGCTAATAATTGGTTTTTAACCAGTTTAACTTCCATGCTTCTGCAGATTCAACAGAAGAAAACAAGTAATGTCTTGCAGGCTCCCCTGTATATGGCTCTTTGAGGATGTTCTTAAGTCAAGGAGAGTGAGTCCTTAAACAGGAAAACTTATGCATAATGGCAATGCAAATGCTAAACTCTCCAGAAGAAAATCATGTAGCTGGTATTTGGCCTGCACATAAAACAAATATTTGCATACAGCTGAGAACCTCAAAAATGTTGTCTTGTTCTGTGGTTTTATGTTTTGAGCTGATCACAGTCTAGTTTCTGAAAAGAATCTCAAATTTGGTGTTGTCCCACCAGAGTCCAATGTAGCAGGCAGTCTCTGTGAGCACCTTACCAATCAGACCTCACACAAGACAGTGTGAGGAGAGAAATTGTCTCACTTTAGCTATTCATCTATTGCTTAGATCATTTTTCTGGAGAGATGTATACAAAGAGAAATAATCCCACTAAACCAGATATTAGACTTACACAAATGCCTCATCTTCAGTATCTGGAAAGTAAGCATTCCGCATCTAGGACTTTGCTCTGACAGAAAAGTCTGCTATGGAAGTATTTTTATCCCCTTTGTACAATGGAGTGAGGGATCGTACTCCCATTTTACGAGGGGATGGAGTAAATCTGGCTAACTCTAGAGCAGGAGTCACAGAGTGATAGAAACGTCTGATTCAGATTCTAACTACCATTGGAAGCAGGAATTTAAGTTTTATACTCTCAAAGAGAGAAAAAAAGCTTTAGTTAAAAGTAGCACTATGCGAACACATGTTGAGTACTTTCAAGTCTCAGCTGGTACATCCATGCACTATTGCACCATACAATACTGATTTAGTGGAGGAGGTTGCCTCTAGTCTGAGAATCCCTGCATCATAGCCTATTTGCAGTACAGATGTGCTATAATCTCCCAGATCTCCCAGCCTGAGGCTTATAATCACTGGTGTTTTGCCTAAAAATGCAACACCTCCATCCCCATGTGGATTGAGTGTAAATGCCTGTTTGGGAAAGGAGGACGTAGGCAGTGTTGTCTTACTAATACATTTTTCAGAATACTGAAACTTGCTACAAAGGAGAATGTATTCTTTACAAGCTATGTGATTTTATTGGTGGGAGTGGGAGACCTTTGTATAATTAAAAGCACCTGTTAACTTCAAAAACCAAGGAAAGTAATTGTTGTGCCTCATTTTTCTTCCTGTACTTTTAAAGTCTTTCCCCTCAGCATCCTAAAAACTTAAGTAGCATCTAAGACAGTATATACAACATTAGCCCATTGTCACTGGAAAACTAAATCTACTCTTTGGATCAAACTATTCTTCTTTCCTCTTCCCATGCTGCTTCTCCCTAAATCATTTCTAACATATCTGAAGAAGGAAGCAGGATGGATAGGTGAGATTATTTTGAAGCAAGTTAGTCCCCTGGAACAAAACTACAAGAATCCTGTCCTGAAACAACTCAAATCCATTCTGAGAGATGGGAATGTTTACCTGAATACTCTATCTAGTTCTAGTTAAGGCAGTATACGGGCAGAAAGATTTTTCTCCTAGCAGAGACTCAACATGCATAGGAAATGATAGACTAAAGCAAATCAAGATGCTGACTACTATGCCTGGACATGAATAGGATTTCAAACCATGCAGTCTTATATAACATTTCTCTCTTAAAAAAAAATTATCAAATACCTCCAACCCCAACAGAAAACCCTCCCCAATAAAATGTTTTAAAAAATTCCAGATATAACAACCTTGCAAAATCTGGACTTCATATTACTCCATGTTATAACTACTACAATTTTCTAAATTTCCCTGGTCCCTGGCTAAGAAGATTTAAGGCAAAGTATGAAAGTTTCAATATATGGAATTAATTAAAGGGCAAGTATTTATGTACTATGCAACACACGTCAAAAAAAAAAAAAAAAAGACCAAATACTGTAAAGCCCCCCAGATATCAGCCATTCAGTTTGTTTTAGAGATTGGGAGCAGCGTATCACATTGACTTCCTGTTGCCCATATCAAGCTGAGTAAAAAATATAATCTGAATTACGAAACTGGGGAATCAGGCTGGTATAAATTTGTCAGTGCCCTCCACATACAGTCTGCATCTAACCCATATTTGAACACCTCCTTGACCATCTCACATATATGACTGAAAAGAGATATCTGTGTATATCTTAAAGTGTATGTGCAAATACACTTGCACAAGGATATACATTTTAAAATGTATTAAATTTTTAAATGTATTAACATACTCCGTCAAAAATGTTGAAATGCTTCTCCCAGTCTGATGACTAACATAGCTGCATTACAGCTGACTTCATAAATCAGTCTGCCTGCACAAATTCTGTTTGGGATATATTTGGGCCTGAGGGACAGGTAAATTATATTGCTGCTTCAGTTTTCTGCTGCAGCTGCTGACTGTACAGTGTAAATACAAAGCCAAAAGCCTGTATTTCTGTTCTACAGCATCTGCAGTTGGACTGCAGGAGACAGCATTTTAATAAAGACTGGCAGAGTACTAAATTGGGACATTGCAATATGGAACAACTTATTTAGGAGTAATGTAAAATGTCACACTCCTGGAGGAACAGCAATATTTGTTAAAGAAGGTTTACACTGAATGTAAGTGATTTAACTGTTCCATGGATATAGAGAGTCCATACAGATTAAAAATTTTTCTGCTTAGAAAATATACGATACTGGTATCACCCAGTCAGGATGGTGTTAATGACTACGAGAAATTGTGGAAGCTGCAAGGGCAGAAAGAGTAATGAAAGACTCAAGTTATTCTCTGTGGCATAAGAAAGAAAATCACTGTATTGATTAATACTTGGTTAAGAGAAAGCTAAGAAAGAACAGGAATAAATGTAAATTTTTCACAATGGTGTGAGATTAGCTATATATAATCCCACATAAACCTGCGTGGGATTCCACTTATAAATGAGCAGGACTAAGGGATAAAGGTGAGGTGACAGGGCTTTATACCAGCAAAATATTAATCCACAGACTAAAAGTAACACAGAACACCACAGCTGCAGATGGATTGTAAGATCCACCCGCAGTCAAATAATAAAATGTCATGTTAAATATAATGTAGGTAAATGCAGCGTAACATGTAGGGTAAAGCAGTCCTGTTTGGTAAACATCACGACAGGCTTCAAATTAACCAGCCCGTGTTGAGGGAAAGGCTCTTGCAGTCACTATGCAGTTCCATGGAAACATCACGTCAGTGCTCAGCAGCGGCTCGCTGGGCAAATGAGCGCTGGCGACTGGCAGGAGAGAATCGGAGGAAGACATAACTCCAGGAAAAACGCTGTACATGCAGCACTGGTACCCTGACACCCGAACTGCGTGGGCTGCTGTCCCACCTCAGCACTGCTGGAAAAGGTCACAGGCCCTCAGGGCTGAGCAGCCGCGTGGAAAGGTGTCGGCAGATTTCTCTACGGCAAGCCCAGGGAAATCACTTCTTTGGTTTGAATGTAGAAATGCCACCACCACAGCACCATGCAACAACACACCTCAACAACCACACCACCATGCAACAATGTGCCTCAACCACCACACCATGCAACAACCCACCTCAACCGCCACTACTACCACGCTGCCATGCAACAATGCACCTCAACCACCACCCCACCATGCAACAACCCCCCTCAAAAACCACACCGCCGTGCAACAATGCACCTCAACAATCACACCACCATGCAACAACGCACCTCAACCACTACCCCACCATGCAACAACCCACCTCAACAACCACACCGCCATGCAACAATGCGCCTCAACCATGCCATGCAACAACCCACCTCAACAACCACACCACCATGCAACAACCCACCTCAACCACCGCACCACCACTGTCACCACCACACATCAACGCCCCTCAACCACCCCCCCAC